GCACTAATATTTGACGGCGTTGCACCGAAATAGCTTCATGTTGCACTAGACACGTCTAATATGGATTTTTCAGAAGTATTTACAGAAATGCCACCGTGCTAGCTTGCATATTTCAGTGCATCATCAAGTGTCTTTTACTGCAACTTAGTAAAATCCAATGGCTGAGATTCATTCTCATTTCTCACCTAAAGGGTTCTTCTCACTTGAACCTTACCCTATATATATATATATATATATATATATAGTGAAAATCATATGTTTTTATCATCCATAAGAGAGAACTATGAAATTTCAGATTTCTTTATAGTTTATCAAGTTTTACAAAACCATCCACCGTTAGACTTTGAATCGTTGGATTGTTGTGGATTTTTCAGCTGAGGGTTGTACTCATATATTTCTGCATTATGAATGGTGGGTTGTTATTAGCCAGGACGGATTAGTAAAAAAAATCTGTTTTAGTGAAGTTCTTTAACCCTTACAAAAACGTCCACTTTGAACCGTTGGATTGTTGTGATTTTTTAGTCGAGGTTTGTACTTGTATATTTATTCATTATGAACGGTGGAGATCTGGTTTGAAGTTGAGGAGGGTTGTCATTAGCCTGGGCAGCTTAGTGGCAAAACATTATCTGTTTTAAAGAAATTATTTAACCTTTTGGTTAGTTTCTGTTTGACTGTTTCCATACGTTTCAGATTAGTGATAGTAGCCTTTCATCCCATATAGGCGCATTCTATGTCAAATATTGTTTTAAACCATGTATTCATCCATATACTATTAGCTTAAGCATTAAATTTTGAATACTTCTTTTGTAGCATCGTAAAACAAATATTATATTCATTCAACCAGAAAACTAGAATTCAGGTTTGCAGTGTAACATTTCCGCTATTTCAATAATCTGAACTATATTATTAGTAACATAAAAAACAAGAACACCCCATGAACCATTTAAAATTCACAGAGGCCATAAACATGAACTGTAGAAATAGCTCAAACCCTAAACGTACCTTTCTTGTGATTGATGATTCTCCATTATGGAATCGCTTCATTGAGTTGCTCGTGTTTCACCTCCAATCAACGTCCAGCCTTTGTTATCTGCAATTTGCTTTGAAGATAATATACCTGCGTATAAGGCGTGTAAAATCTAAGGGTTTTATTTTGATTGAAGATTAACTACAAAGGTGACGTGTTTCTATTTGAAACACTTCAACAACAATTTTTGCCATGTCATCATTTTTCAACGCCCATGTAACGGATGTACTTAACCGACACGGAAAACTCAAGTTGATGTACTCTATCATGTATATGACAATTTTAAGTACCATTTTGGTCACTTTTCATGTAGTGATATAGATAAAATTTAAAAGAATCTCGACACTCTTGCATCATCACAATCTTGAATTTGATGTGTATCTTGGTAATGTTGAACAACTGTTTTGCCACGTGAAGTCATACTTGTCATTTGGATACATAAATTGTTCTATGGCCAGCGTACATCGGCATTTGAGATGTTGTAGGATGAGTTGCAATGTAATATCACACATTCCTTTATGTTGGTTGAACACCATAGTTTGGATACATACCTTGATTGTCAAACATTACAGGATGAAAACAAATCGACAATCTTGGTTGAATGTCATTGTCATCCCATTAATACTAATTAACAATCTTGTGTCTTGGTTTTAGAAAAGTAAAAATACAAATTTAGGAAAGCAACAAACCAACACACAAAAAAACACAAAAGATATGATAATTACAGGCCTGAACATTATGTCCAACACATCATATATGAGAAGTATGGAAAAGTAATATGGTCAGTACATATCTTTGAGTAGTGTTTGATTGTGATTAATATAGGAAAGGAGGAGTAATATGAAACACAAAAATTATTTCTTAAATCTTAAAAATAAATGGGAGACAAGTTTTGGACAATCTAAAATAAAAAATGAGAAGAAAACTTTGGAATGTATGGAGTAAATTATTTTGCTTTGCTTTTATTGGTGTGTGTGTGTACACGGAATACATGACACGTCATAATATGTTTCATTATTATTATTCTCATGAATTGAAAGTCAGATCAGATAAATTTACCCGGACTAAAACTGTCTTTGATCAAGGTGGTCACTGGAGTTCTTAACTCACTTATTGTAACGATACACAAATTTTAATTTTGAATTGGTATTAGTGATATTTTTGAAGTCCAACATTAGCTATGCACAAACTCGGCATTATTTTTAACTTTTATTATAAAAAACTCATGGTCTTATTCTATACTTCAACCAAGGTTAGACTGCCAACCTACTTTTGAACATCAGTAATTTTAATTGAACTCGAAGCTTGCCTGTTATGCACGTACCTAGGGATGGGCATGAAAAACCGTAACCGCTTAACCGTGGTAAATAACCAAAAAACTGGTGTATTTTTCGGTTAACCGTACCGGATTTTTTAAAGCTCGCAGTACGGTTAACCAACCGCAAAGAAGAAGCGGTTCGTGGTATGTTGACAGTTGAAGTTATGTTAACTTCGGTTAACCGGTAGTGAAATTTTGAATAATTATACTATGTAATATCTTGTTTCCGGTTCAGAGTCGATGTCACTCGAAAGTCTCCCACAGTTATTGCCACAGCCGCTCTCCTCGCAGGTCACATTTAAAGAGCTTATTAAGGATAATGATAAAACTCAAAGCTCAAAAAATTGTCAAAATGCGGCTCTTTTAGCTGTCAACCAATTAATGACCAAAATCATAAATAATAATAATAATTGTGCTTTAAACGGAATCAACTAGACAACTACACCATTACTTGCTACTCCTACTAGGTTATTGCATGGGTGACAAGTACTGAGCCCACCAGTATTACGAGTTTTTGTTCTGGGAAGTATATTTCCCTTTCTTGTTAATTGTTTTATGGTTTATTGGTTAACCGTTAGTGGTTAACCGAATTTTTGGTTAACCGATATACGGTTAACCGATATTATGTTACGGATAGCGGTATTGAAAATTTAGTAACCGATATCTCGGTTAACCGAAAATTCGGTTAACCAAAATCCGGTTAACCAACTGTGCCCACCCCTACACGTACCGACCTAAAATGATGATGTTGTGACATGCCTAATCGATATTACAATTCACACATGTGGTGTCACCAGGTTCTAGTTCAACCAATGCGCCTGGTCCAAGTTTTAAAATAGTGATGCAATCTATATTTTCCATGTCTAAGAACAAACAACTTGGAGAATATACCAAATATTCAAACACAACTAAATCTAGGTTACTTATAAGATGACGTGAAAATGATTATATGAGTAATGAAGCCACAAATTAACATTCCAACTTTGATTGATTAATCATCACTTGTAATGTATACATAATTAATACTCATAATATATGGGAGATAAACCCCCGTGCAGAAATGTAATACATAATAAGTTATGTTCTGAGCATCAATTTGTAAAGGTATCACAAATGATGAAGAGAACGTGGGCAAATGTGAATGTTCGATTCGACAATCGTTGAAAATCATCATTATAAGTGGAATCCATATTTATAAATGAGAAATAGATATTTATGAATATAGTACTCATACATGGTAAGAGTCTAGCTTAACCTATTCCATATTTGTCATTAATTTGTGATAGATTCATAAAAGTGAATGACAATAGGTTTAATTAATAATAATTTATCAAATTTGCAAATAACTCGGGAGTGTTATGCGGTATATTTTAATGTAATATATACTCGTCATAACTTTTTTCTATGCACGGTGGCGTTGCATATAATGTGTACTTCATGTTAAGCTTTATAATGACCACATTCTGTATTTTGATTACAACATTCATAAGATAACAAAATTATAATATCATTGAGAAGATAAAATAGTAACCATGTTAAACTTTATTAGCATCGCATATATAAGCTTTATATTTACATATATTCTTATTATTACTTCGTCGGTTATTAAAACATATTGTTAGTATTGAATTTAAGCATTGTATTCTTTGTACATAAATCATAAACTTTGATATTTATTTTCTAAGCTTTATAAAATAGTCACATTTTTGTGTACTACTCTATAATTTGGTTGGCCACTGATTGGGCGGGGCTGTTGGTCACTGACAAATTTCGAATTTTGGTCACTTATGATTTTTTGTCACTGAAGGATTTTGGTCAGTGGGGTGGGTCATGTCACTAGGTAGGTTAGGTCACTGGGGTGGGTCTGTCATTTAAAAATATTAGGGCTAACTTAATTAGTAAGTTTGTATCTTATTAGTCACATTTTTGGAACTCTTAAAAAATGTCTCTTTTTTGTCCAAGAGCTTAATTTTAGTAATATTAGTGGACAAGCCCCAACTTATAAACCAAACTTACTTTCTGGGTACTAATTCTTGAATTACTAAGAGTTGGTTTGCAACAACTTAAAAAAAGCACTTCTCGCCTTTTGGCTTAAAAAACACTTATTCACCAAACATTACCAATTTTTACTTTTCTAGGCTTTTCGTGTGAAAAATGTTTTTCCCTTTTCTATTACACAAAATCACTTATTTTACCAAACACTACTAACTTTTACTTTTCAAAATCACTTTTTTCACAAACACTATCAACTTTTACTACTAATCACTTTTTCTAAATCACTCCAAAAGTGTTTTTTTAAGCAGAAGTTGTTGCAAAAACTCCCTAAGTTGGTTTAAACCAAATTCCAACTATCTATGTAGTACTTAGGGGTGTAAATGAGTCAAGCCGCTCGCGTGGTGCTTGTGGATCACTCGGGAAAAGCTCGACTCGAGTTCGGTCATATTAAGCTCGACTCGAGTTTGGCTCGACTCAAATAGTTAACAAGCTCAATTCAAGCCAATTTATCATTTTATTGTGGGCTCGTGAATTCTTATCAAGCTCAAGCATACCTATGCTCGGGCTCGACCCGGCTCGACTCGGCTCTTTATACCCCTAGTAGTACTTAGCTAGTCATCTACGAAAGGCAGGTCGGGCCTAGTTCCAGCGAGAGACCAGGCCCGTACTAAAAACTGTGATTACATGGCACATGGCCCGCCCAGAAGCTCAATCACTAAAAAAGAAAAGATAGAAACCAGCAGTTTCCGACTCTCCTCTTCCTCTTGACAGTCGCGATGAGGGACTAGCTGCACTGCCTGCACAGATGCTACTAACCCACGGCACCTCCCCTAGCCGTTTCCGATTTCCTCTGCGGTCCGCAGATTAGTGGGAAATCCGCCGAACCAGGTAAAACGCCTCGAAGATTTAAACTTTGTATTTCTTTTGTGGCTAGAATTACTTAATTTAATTCAATCGACAATGAATTACTTAATATAAACGCCTCGAAGAAATTTCTAATTCAAATTAATTATCACAGGTGGAAAAGTTAAATGAAAAATCGAAAATGAATGCCATAGACCAAGTGACCATCCACTGTCATATTAAAAAGAAGTCAAACTTGGTTCATTTGGCGCCAGAATTCGCAAGAGTTGATATTGATTGTTGGGATGTATTTAATTAATTAGTGAATAAAAGGGTGTTAGTTACTTGATTTGTTTAACTTTTGAAGGACATTAGATTAAGTGGGGTTGGGAGAAATGGTATACCAGATGAGGAGCAAAAACAATTGACAAGATTGATCAATAATCTGGTAGCGAGATTGATTGAAAGAAGGGACCCATATGATTTGTGGGGACTGGGGAGTCATGAGTCTGCCTCTCTAGGATACTAGGAATAGATTAAGCACTGGAATGAGTGATGACCGGATCAACGATAGGGTTTTTGTTTATGAGGAGAAAGATATCTTCTTGATAATTCAAATGTTAGATCATAAAAAACAATCATATCTAATCTAAGTTGGGCTATATTCTTGGGATTTCACATCCCTGGACTCTATGTTCATAATGATGTCATGCTTGGAATGGGTCGGTAAACTCCTTCTATTAGAACTGTACTTGACAATTTCCTACCTCATACGGCTCAAAAGCCAATTCTTTTAGAGGTTTCGTTTTCATTAAAATGGCTCTTTTAGTCTGACAATTGTGAATGGTGATGTGTTTTTTTCTATTTGACTTTGATGCTAACTCTAGTAGTCTAGTTCATGTAAAACATTTGTAATATTTTTTTATTTTACTTTTTTTTTTTGTAATTGAAGTTATTATATATTTATATATATCCCACTGCATTGGAATGCTAGATCTGCTTCTGTATCTTCGCGTGCCCATTTGTCATACTGTGTACATCTTCTCAATGAAGCTACCAGTTGAATGGGTGGGAAATCAACCAATGAATTCAGTTATTCAGGAGCTTCAAGGCTACAAAAATATGAGTGGAACATCTTCTTAATGAACTTTCGAGTTGCATGGGTGGAAAATCAACCAACAAATTCAGGAGCTTCAAGGCTACAAAAATATGAGTTTAAAAATGAGAGCCTTAAGCACTGGCAGTGGTCTCGCTCATTCAATTAAGAGAAACAGAAGCAGTCTAATTTCTACGGTCATTCGAGTAGTCTACCCCTTTCGTTGTCCAGCCTTGTCAACCATGTCAAGAGAGGATGATCCCAAACTGAAGGAAATGATGGATTTCATAGACAACCTCAAGAACTATGAGAAATTAGGCGTACCCAAAGGCGCAGGAACAGATTCTGAGGATGGGTTCGATCTGGGTAGAATGAGGCGCCTAATGGAGCTTCTGGGTAACCCTCATTTCACATTCAAGGTTTGTTTCTTCTGGTTGTATTTATTTTTCAGTGCTTAGGTGCCGCATAAATTCTTTTACGAAAAAGTTAATTTATGGGTTTCTCATATAAATTGTATTGCTCTGCAACATATGCTTGCAATGTTTTTATTTTCAATTTGTATATTTTTTTATTATCACGGATTCAAGTATGTGAGTTGAATTTGATCAATGCATGCACAAAACGTTTAGTAGGCTTAGTCATCTGGCTACAATGTCTTAGGGTCTGTTTGGGTTTTAATAAAAATAATAATTTTACCTTCCAAAGTTCAACCACTTCGGGTTCTTGGGGATTTCATAGAATTCTATTGAAATTTGATAGTGTAGGTGTATATCCATTAAAATTCATAGGCTCTACAAATCTTTAAAATCCTTGAAATTTTATGTTGGGACACCGCTAAAAAATAAAATGTGATCGTATTTCGTTTCAATCAACTTTTATCTATTATCTATATATAAACATTTTGTATTTCAAAATATAGACTAAGGTCTCCAAAACCTTCCATCCAGACAGGCCTTCAAGGTCAGTTCGGATGGAGTTAAGAGAACTTCGGAAGGGATACTATATATCTTGATACATATTTGAGATTAATAAAACAAATTGAATGTATACCATATCAGGTCATCATGTTCAATCACCATTTATTCATAATTAGAAACAATATACTCCCTCCGTCCCGCTGAGTTTGTCCCATTTTTCCTTTTCGATCCGTCCCACTAAGATTGTCCCATACCAAATTTAGTAAAATTTGTGTGGTTCTAAATCATTCTTTACTTTATTCTTACTTTATCAATTCAATATCAACCACATAAACCCACTTATATTGGTATGTGTGACACTCCCTCTTGTACCATTGCTAGTGGGATGGAGGGAGTATTTTCTAGGATATAGAGTAAGCCTTCCAAAACCTTACTACCGAATCCCTTAACCCATACTGACCTTCACATTGGATATTATAACAGGCTGTTCATATTGCGGGTACTAAAGGAAAAGGATCAACTTCTGCATTTCTCTCCAGCATATTAAGAGCAGAAGGCTACTCTGTAGGTTGCTATACTAGGTATTCAATTGCTTTACCATCTTAATTCTCACTTGAGTAAAAAGCTTTTAGATCTTGTAAGCTCAAATAAACTTTTGTCTTTGGTCTTGTAATGAACATGAGAATATTTTTGGACAGTCCACATATAAAAACTATTAGGGAACGTATAACCTTGGGAAGACATGGCGCGCCAGTATCTGCAGAGGTATTGAGTCATCACTTCCAAAGGGTGAGGAGAGACCTTGAGAGAGCAGTGGAACTTGAAAATGGACGTCTTAGTCATTTTGAGGTATGATATTGATGATTAAGGTCTCTTGCTCATTTATAACATGCTGGTGTTGATGTTGATGATGATGACATTAATAATCGTGTTTGGTATTGAATTCCCAGATTTTCACCGGTATTGCTTTCAGCCTATTTTCTCAAGAGAATATAGAAATTGCAGTCGTGGAGGTTTCACTGTATTTCCCTTTTTTCTTCTCTCCTTATCCTTTTTCATTGAAGTTGGAGTTGAACATTGTGATGCTAATATAGGTATAATGATTTGCAGGCTGGATTGGGTGGTGCAAGAGACGCTACTAATGTAATTAGCGCCTCTAATCTTGCGGCATCAATCATAACGACAATTGGCGAGGAACACCTGGATGCTTTAGGGGGTTCTTTAGAAAGTATTGCACTTTCAAAAGCTGGAATAGTCAAAGGTGGCCATCCAGTTAGGTGGTTCTCCTTTACATAAACCTTTTATTCTCACAGTTTTTCTCACTTGTACAATTACTGATTTGGCCGTTGGTCATGTTTTTAAATTCTGAATACTTCAGTTAGTTCTAGGTGGCCCATTCCTTCCACACATTGAGCGAATTCTCCGTGATAAAGCGGAATGTGTTTCTTCACCTGTGGTTTCGGCTTCTGATGGGGGAAATAAGAGTTCTCTCAAAGGCTTCCATCAAATATGTGGCATACCACACCAAGTTTGTGATGTTTTGCTTCAGATTGATAGAGACCTTTTGCTGGTGTGGGTTTATTTAAATGTTAATATTTCTTGTAAGAATGGTCTTTTTATATATCTTACACAGATTTGTTTTTTCGCTCCAAAAAAATTACGCAGTCAATAGCATTATTTGATGTGAGGCTACGCATGCTTGGGTCCCACCAGCTTAGGAATGCAGCAACAGCTGTATGTGCAGCGCTATGCCTTCGTAATAAAGGTTAGCGCTATGCCCTAAAAAAAGGTTACCTTTGTTTTTGCTGGTACTTCCTCTGTGATAGAGACCGAGATAGTACTAGTAATAAGTACTTGTATAATATTAGGCTTTTAATATTGTACAATAAAAGGGGTTTATGCCCTGAATTAAATAGCAAGTAGGCTGGCCCTAATGGAAGAATAAATAGGAGTTGGGGGGAGTAGAATTGGCAGGCAGAACTTGGGACTTGGGCTGGGATTCTGGGAGAGATAGGCTGCTCTAAGTGCCTAAGCTTGTATCGTTTCAGTTCTGTTCTTCATTCAATTTCTTAATAAACAAAGATTTTCCTCCTTCGATTCTGGTATCTAACACTCTGCTACAATCTGGATCCTCTTGTTTGTGGTATGTTTGGATCCCGGAATATGATTTGGAAAGGAAAAAGTGTTAGGGTCTGTTTGGAACTCGGGAAGTGATAGAAAACGAAACAGGTAATAGTAATGAAAATGTAGGAGAAATTTGGAACGAAATAAAAAAAGTGAAAAAATAAAACATCAGTTCATACTCAATAAATTTATATTTTGTTTTTTGTTTGAAGTTCTAGCCCATATTATTCATTTAATCCTATTAGTAATAGAATTAGGATTCTAAACATGTGTAATTTTTTAAACCATATTAATCATATTTCATTTTCCTTTTACATTTTTGGATGTAAAACCAAGCGCAAGAAATCAACTTTTCTTGGCCCTGTATTTGATTTCCTTGGATTGTTGCAGCATCCAAAGTCCAAACATATTCTTAGGATATATTTCGACTTGGGAAATTGGAAACGTGCTAAGGAAAGTTATTACTTATGTGTGGAGCTTTGGCTTAACCTTGCGAAGATATTGATCTTTCTTGGATTGGCATTTTAGGATGGAGGTTGTCTGATGCATCTATTCATGCTGGTCTAGAAAGTGCAGTTTTGCCGGGCAGAACTCAACTTTTAACTACAAAAGAAACTGAAAGGCTAGGACTACCTCCTCATATAAATATAATGCTAGACGGAGGTTAGACCTTGATGTCTTGATCCCTACTTGGGGAGATAATGCTTGTATGCATATGTGTGAACTCTATTACATAGTTCTATACTGACTTACTGAAGGTCTGTTTGAAACATGAAAAATGGTTAGGGACTGGAAAATAATAAGAATAATAATAAGGAAAATGGTTTTTTGATGTTTGGTTTTTCCTTGGAAAGTACAAATGAAAAATTAAATTTGATAAAAACCTTGGTAACATTTTTACATATATTTAGATTTTCTCTTAGTCATTGTATAATACTAGAGATTTTAATGAACTTTAATAAATTTATAAAATTAATAGATTGGATTTGAGGCAATCCACCCCCACCCTACATATTTTCCTAACAATTTTCAAATAAACAGATCCTAAAGGTACTATAACTTAAAGGCTTGTAAGTTCAGATCATAAATGATTTTCAGCACATACGAAGGAATCAGCCAGATCATTGGCTGAGACAGTGAAGTTGTTATTTCCAAAAGGGAGATTAATTCTGGTAGTGGCTATGGCAAGCGACAAAGATCATCTTGGGTTTGCAAGAGAGTTAATTTCAGGTTTTACTTGTGTTCTGTTTATTTATGGGAAACCTGTTCTTATAAATAATCTCCGTCTGTGTTATCTGCTTATCATCCTTTGTTAAATAGCTTCATTAACACTACAAAACAAAATTCCTCCTTAGTGTTCTTCATTGTGAGGAGCACCTTTAGTTAGGATTTTAAGTGCCAACAACCTTTTTCCGTAAGAATATTTAGTTGTAAGGAATGCTCTGTAGCGTTTTTAATTAGTATGAAATCTACAGTCCCTCTTGTTGACTTTGGCTTTGTTGAGCAATTGGTTGCTCTCAAATTGTCAGTTTGTTAGTTATTTTGAGCTGCTAGTCTGATTAGAAGATTGAAAATAAGTGTTTGATAAAAGTAGTTGTTTGTTGTTACTTGTGTATTTAAAATGACATTAAGGACATGCACACATTTTATAAAAAGCGTTATTAATTACTCTGAAGTCTGAATCTAATAACATCTTTTCAATTTTTATATTTAACAATCTTACAATGATGTGATACAAAAGAAGTGAAATCATGCATTATGTTTTTGGATGAATCATTTGTTGTTTTATTTTGTTGTGAACACACGAAATACTACATACTTAATCAAAGTTTTCTCTTTCTGATTATAGTGAATTGTTTGGAAGCTGTATTTTTTACGGAAATTAGCATCGCTGGGGACAAATCTCGAACCACTTCAGCATCTTATCTGAAAGAAGTTTGGATGAAAGCTTCACAGGAAATGGGTATTAACGTTCTCGATCACAGAGATGCAGAATGCAATTTTTCCAAGGGTCAGTCTACACATTCTGGAAAGGCAAGAGAAGTAATACTTGCTGAGAAGCCATTAATGGCAGCTGTAAGAGTTGGATCTCAGAATCTGAATGAAAGTGAGGGAAACCCTTCCAGGGTTGTGTTAGTGACGGGGTCTTTGCATATAGTTTCTGTTCTATTAGGTTATCTCCCAGAATAAACTTTGATAAACAAAAGTTAAAAGGAGTGAGGAAGGTTGAAATTTGTGGTGTTTGGTCCGAGTAATGTCTTTCTTTTGCTCATATACATTTCATGGCCTTCTTTAATGCTGTTTTAGATTTTGTGAGATATAAATGCCAGTTTGGGGACCCCTCATATTAACTTCATTGTTTTAGAATTTTGTCCCCCACTCTCATTAATGTTATTATCTAGATGATTCAGATACGGAGTAATGACATATTTGGCATTTGTGTTTACACAAGGAGTTGATGCATTAAACCATTTAAGGTTTGTCCCACTAGATCAAGTTGTGTGATGGTTTTTTTCTGTCAGCTTATCAGTAGAATCAACAAAAATATGGTAGGTATAGACATGTTACCAAACGCTTTTTCCTTTGGAAAACTTTAATTTCGAGTTTCTACATCCAAATAACCTTAGCAAATGTGCCTTTGTTCTGTTAGTCCCGGTAACTGAAAGTAAATACTATCTATCACGTAGTACTATTAAAGCATTAGTGTGATTTTTCTGCAGCATTTTGCCAAAACCATATGTATGCGTTGATCGTGAAATAAAATATGGACAAAAACATATAAAACACATTTTTTTTGTATCATGTTTTTTCTTTCTTTCTTTCATTTTCTTCATTTCCTTATACTGCAATAGGTGTAGCGTAGGTTTTTTTTGCAATTACTTTATTTGTTTCCAATCAAATGCAAATTGTTTTGTTGTTAACAAATAAAGAAGAGCTGAAACTTAGCCGAAAGAAACTAACTAAACCAACAAAAATTTAGTTTAAACTAACTAGAACACAATCTAGTTGATTTTTTTGCACGGGTTCAACGTTCGGTTTTGAATCAAAATTAAACTTGTTCCAAAAGCTTGTAAATCATAGTATCTCAACAAAACACAAAGACTTGGTCAATCTCCGTTGCGCACAAGAAATCCCCTTACATTGAGAAGTTACTCTCACTCTCACATTGTTACTGACAGGACTCGATTATAGGTTATTTGTTTCAAATTTCATCCATGTAGTCAATTGAACTGTCCATGTCATGCGGGCAAATCAAATTTAAATCGAATGAACTAAACCTAACCGGCAAACCCTATATGTATCGGGCAGGAGGTGGGAAGGGCCGAAGGGTCCGGGGCCGGTTGCTCGTGTTGGAGAATTAGTTTTAATTTGCTTCACGTGTTTTAAAGTTTATCAATTACCCCCAAAGCATTCTATCTGGCTTTTTAAATATAATAAAAATGCTTATGACTAGAGCCTAGCTGATAGCTATGAAATTTTGACAAAAATGATGAGTAATATTTATAATTCATAATAGAATTGCAGAAATGCCGTTTGTTTTAATGAAAGACTTGGATAGGTTCTTGTTCTAGGCTTCTAGCTTAGTAGCATACTCTTGTTTTGAATCATAACGTTCGCAATTTCGAATGCCTTTATTTTTGTACCGAAATGCACCTTCCCGATCTTATCCGTCCAGAGTCCAGACTAGTTAATGGCAATATTGGCATGTGCTCGAAATTATGTTACCTAAATGGCCGATTTGTTAATAATCATGGTTACAGTTTACAAATAAAAGTCAACTGATACTTATCTGTCGACTGTCACTTAGTTCCAATATGTACTACGTATAACTTCATAGTTTCACTTTAATTTTTAAGAAAGTGAGATTTTTGCTTTTGGCTATCCCATCATGCCCTTATAAAAAGTAGATAATGTGTTGTAAGAGTATACTCCCCCGTTCCTGAAAATACTTCTCACTTTTCTTTTTGAGTCGTTCCAAAAATACTTTCTACTTTCTCTTTTTGGATAATTTGTGTGGCTCACATTCATTTTACCTTTTTCTTACACAACTACAACCCTACATTTCCACTTTATTCAACTTTCTTAATAAGCGTGCCGATTCAAACCGGGAAGTATTTTTAGGAACAAAGGTACGGAGTAGTATTTAATATTAAAACACTACCAGAAATAGAAGTGTAAAGTTTATATTGAACCAACCCAAAAAATAAAGTGTGAAGTTTATTTAGAACCGGAAGAAGTATTTTGAAATCTTACATTGAGAATAATGAAATAATAATTTTCAAAATGTAATTTTTTTGATATATTATAATAAAAATAGTCGGAGTCGGAGTAAAGCATCTGAATGTTCACAATGGAAAAGTCGAAGTATTACAAATAATAAAGAGATCAATACAGGCCTAGCTAGGCTATCTATAGAAAATTAGAAATCCTCAATAAGTGGAATATTGTATAGAGATTTTTTTAAAACAGGACAAAAACATGACGAATTGTATAGACTTATTTTGTTTGAAAAGGACAAAAACATGACGAAAGTATATAAATAAGATACACTTTTATCATAGGAATGGAGCATGTTCTAAAACTTTTAAAATAGGAATGCTATACACCCGAACCAGCTCTTATTTGAATTCAAAACTCATTAATTAAGATCACTTAATAATGATAGAAATTGAGCTTGATCTTATATATACAATTCAAAGTAATGCCTCATAGCTAATCCGTTAAGACTTACGATTCCATCTAAAAGGTCAATCTGATAAGAGAAGTAGTTCATGTGTTAATATAACATTTTGTTCATCCCAATTTTCTGGTGTGGAACATTTAACACTCTTCCTCACGACTAGACACTTCATCTGGATCGTGTCATCATTCATTTTTTTCATCGGTCCATATGGATCGATTTGGCTCTCATACTATGTTAAGATCTGGGGTTACATCCTAAAAGGTCAACCTGATGATAAGATCAGGAGCAACTCATGTGTTAATATAGCATTTTTTTCATCCAAACTTTTCCGGTGTGGGATATTTAACTTAATCGTTAAAACAATAGAAAAAAATGGATGAATGCTTTTCTATCTTTATAGAAGCAATGCAAGTTACTCCTGCAAGTTCCCGAAATGGGACTAAAAAAGTTCTAAAATTCCAAAATAGGACTGTCATGTTTTTATTCCCAAAATAGGACTAATTACTGCCAAATTTGGAAAATACTGCCATGTTTGAAGTCTGGTACTGCCAAAACATGACAGTAATTAGCCAAAACATGGAAGTCTTATTTTGGAATTTTCAAACCTTTTTAGTCCCATTTTGGGTAATATCTCTTTTCTCTATACAAGAACATATTACTCATATTAAACCCTATTTTAGAATGGGCTCCTAAATGTGCAATAATGTAGGATGGAACCCCAGATCTTAATATAACAGCTCAACCTTGTAGGACTCAAAATCGTTACTTTTGGATGCACTCCAAACCCACTATTATCCTTACATTAACAAACCACCACGAGACTTTCAATTACCGCGTACTTTATTCTTACATCCTAAGACTACTTCCATAATTCCGTACAAACACACTTGACCTTTATTGGTATGAATAATATTGTTAATTTTTTAAGCTAGTCTCGGCTATTATTTGCAATTTAGATCACTTTTACTCCTAAATAGAACATACATTTTCTCTTAGATTTTCCATGGACGCTAGGTTAATTGGCAAACGCGTAGCCTAGTACCTTTTATTATGATGCCTTGGTGAAATGCATGCATGGTACGTGAGAGTGAAAAGGTGGTTGTTGGGGATGGTAATGAATGGGAAGGAAATTAAAATTTGTCTTTCTATGTGTTATCATCTCATCTCATATCATGTCGTGGATTATCATAAAAACGGACTCATATTTGCACACCTCAAACCCCACTTGTGTGTCCTTTTTATGCATTTACTCATCTTCTCCCCCGCCACTCCTTATCACACTTTACTTCTTTCTCCCAATACCCACCAGTTTCTTACTGTGTGCCTGATTTGATACTCCCACAGCCCATATTTAAAGCTCTTCTCTTTTTGGATTTAATTTTTGTAATTGTAAATACTGTTGGCTAGAATCTAGACAGATCATTTGTTGTGACTAAAAAAGTGGCGCAGCTTAAAAATTTGTTAAGAGAGAGACCTTGACAGGCAACCTTTAACACATTTGAAATACTGCCTTCATCCCTATTTAAAAGTGCCACTTTGTTTTACACACAATTTAGAAAGTTTATTGTTTGATATTATTTGGACATTGTTTGACGTTTAATTGACATTGTTTTGTTTACTAAATAAGGAAATGATACATTTTTAAAGGACAGACCGAGAAGGAGAGTGAGATGTTTATTTAGAGACGGAGGAAGTATACGAATGGTATATAGTAACATGTATTATTTCCGTTCCATTGAACATTTCAAGTTGCAATCAGTGCTAAAAATACATCATATGCGGCTCTAACAAAGGGCGTTTTTAGAAGTCAAAACATTTTTAGAAGTATATATGAATTCATTAATCACGCTCTTATGAGATTCAATCGTACTAACTTTGTTTTTGTTTTTGCAAAAAAACGTACTAACTTTTTAAAGAGAGACACCATAATCATATACGGAGTACTACGTACGTAATATTGCAATGTCTACGTATATACGGACCATACGAAATTGTTGCCGTTAGAGAGCGCGACTGCGCGAGTCACCCCTGTCGACTGTAGATATGCCTCCGAGTCCGGCCAATTGTCCAAATATACATTTGTAACGTTAAACATTATTTTTAGTTACACAATTTTTTTAGTCTAGTTTGGTGTGATAGGATCTACTCAAGTTTGTTTAGATCTACTCTTCATTTGAACTAGTCTCATCCATGTATGTTCTACCTGTATTCTATAACGGTTGAGATCTTGTTTGATATAATATATATATAATGTGTTTAATTGATCTGATTTGATAAAGTTACACACTATTTGCAATTTGTATATACGCGATTTACATTTCATCATATATTAAAGGTGAGAGAAAAGCTACTAGAGAAGTAATGTGAGTTACATTCTAGTGCATAACTTACTTTTGCCGCTAACTGAGATTACGAGGGTGTTTGGTAAATGACGTTTCAGCAAAAAAATGACGGTTTGACTACTTTCAGCGTTTTCAATAAGTGAAAAAACTGCTTGGTAAATAGCGGTTCGGCACTGGCGTTTTTGGACAAAAACGCTGAAATGAAAACGCTGCTAATAGGAGAGTTTTGGTTTAGCATTTTGAAAAATGACGTTTTCTCCTAATTTTATGGACACACAGCTAAATTACCAAACATATTCTAACAACCCGCCAATTTATTCTGGTAATCAAACCCGCCAATTTACTAAATCTACTATTGACAACCCGCTAACATAACTCGATATCCGCTAACCACTGAATGCCAAACACGCCC